ATTGTCATGATTTTTTAATGGTAAACTAAATATTCTATCCTGTTAATTTTTACGTTTTTTTTTCTTGTCAAACTAATCGCACTGTTTTCTTGTTCCAAATATCAATTTCTGAGATGACAACAATTGTATTTCTTGATAAAACTGAAGAACTATCGATCTTTTAATCGGATCCTGTTAGTTAAAATTATACAAATATATTTCTGTTATATACTAATAGGTGTCAGAGTTAACTAATCTAATATATTGTACATAAAAGATTTTTTATAGTTATGACATTATTGTAAATCAACTCAAAGCTTTAAAAAGAATTATAGAAATCATTTTTCTCTAAAACTTCATCTATTTCGTTGATCATTGGTATAAAATTGTGGAAAATGTTAAATCCCATTAAATCATGAATCGATCAAGGGTAGACTACCACTGAGAATCAGAAAGCCTTGTTCATCTGTTTCATCCTAGTGTGAGACTCCTCAACAGTGTGCATTCACGACCCTGCACACGGGAATCAAACACAGAACTGTCAGTTCACTTGTATCTAAAGAAAAATTCTAATTCTTCGTCTTAACTACAAATCAATTTGCTTAATCTTGTAAATAAACAGAAATGTTTAATGTTTTCAGTGAATGAAAATGCTGATGAGTAGTGGTTACAGTTGTTTAGTTTTTATACTAATGGGCATTTTCACCACTAAAAACGTGCAATCACGAAGCTTATTCTTTCTATATGGAAATCTATACTGTTTCATCTAAAATATGTATTTAGTGTATGGTAAAATAAGTTCCTTTCATTTCATCGTGAAAGATGTAACTTTTTGTTTTCTTACAAAATAACTCGATATGTCTAAAATCAATGAGTGTATAACTTACGGAAAGAAATGCGTCGAAAATAATATGGATTTGCATGTATCCTTATGGTAGCTCAATAGTGTCAAATTTTCATCATTTTAAGTGAATCGTAAATTCCGAGAAAAAAACTGGATAAATATATAACAAAGTGAACTATATTTGAAGTGAACATATGGTGTCGAAAATGTTAACAGTATATTTACAAACTATTAGTTAGTGAGTAGTGACCAGTGTTATGTTGGTCTAATTTATTAATGATAGAATTCTTCCTCATGGAATGAAACTCAAGTTAAAAGTTTCTCAACAACTACCTTTAATCATCTGATATCTCAATTTAATACATGCGATGCTTTATCGCTTAACCTGAAGATCAAATTATAACCTACACTATAGAATTCGATCAGCACTAACGGACTAGACAAACATAAAATTTGGTCACTACTTAGTGATCAATTGATGAAAATTTACCAGTCCTATAGGAAATTAATCACTTCCCAAATACTTCATTTTTAACATTCAATACTTTAAAACAAAGAAATGTACGTTCAAATTTCATTGTGATCATTAGTTTCATCAAGATTATAGTGAAACCTTTACTGATAATTATCAAACAACACAAAACACTTTAGTTCAAGATTTCCTTAAACTACCTAATATCAATAATATATATACATTAGTTGATTAGTTTAATATTTATCATTTTAATTTCAGAAATTTAACTTAAATAATTCATAAAAATTATAAATAGAATTCCTATGGAAATTTAATTTAATAACAGAATATTGTACATCGTTTCTAGGAACATCAATTACTATTAAATACATAATAAAGTTCATTTCAAGTGTCTAAAATTAATTTTTCTAACCTAAAAAAATATAAAACAAATTAACCTTTACAGAAAAATTACAAAAAAAAATTGAAGTTTATTATTTTTCAAAAAAAATATTTTAATTGTTATCTTAATCATTACACAACTATAAAAAACATTGACGACTAAAAACAAAGAAAAACATTTTTAAAAAAAGAAATTGGGGTTAAATAAGGTGAACATAAAAGAGAACGGTAGTTATAATGATAATAACAATAATTGTAATAATAGTGATGATGATAATAATAATGATAAAATTTTTAAATAGTAGATTACTATTAACAATTATTTTCAGGAGGGGTTTTTTGAAGATTGTAGTAATTTCATTAGCTGAGAAGCTAATGAAATTACTACAATCATGAGTCAATTGATATTAAAGCACTATTGAAAACCTGGAAGTGCTGGACGACCATTTCGTCTTATTTTGGGACTCCTTAACAATGCGAATCCATGACCCCGCCTCTCGGGATTCGAGTTGACTCATGATCTCAATTACCGAAATTATTACAATCTCCACAAAATCATTTCTGATATTAATCAACATATGCTCACTAGTGACTGGCTTCAAGAGGTATATCCTGGAGTTCTAGTGAAAAGCAGTCACCAGTGGAGTTCAACGAGGTCTGCTGTGACCTGGTAACTCACTGATGACAATGGTCGATGTATCGCTCAATTTCGTAGATTAGTTGAAGTTAGACATTAACACCGTTGGATGCTGTCTCAGTGGTCTAGTGGTTAAGCGCTCGTGCGCGAGACCAGTAGGTTTAGGGTCAGAATTCCGCGAGGCGGGATCGTGAATGCGCACTGCTGGGGAGTCCCACAACAGCACGAAACGACCGTCTGGTGCTTAAAGGTTTTCCATGTTGGTCTAGCTTCAATTGACTCATGATCTCAACTATTGAAATAATAATTATTTATCTGAATAACATATTACATAACATAGTGCTAAGTTTAATTATTTTTCTGGAGAGACTATAATTTATGGATGAACCAATGAGGTATAAGATAACAGGTTTCGGATTTTGGCGTGAAATTCACTCATCCGCTTGGCTAAATAGAGTTTTGACATTATAGCTGACATAGTTCGTGATGAAAACCCTAAAGATAATTTTCAACCTTAATCGTCAACTGTAAATCACAATTCGAATTCCTCACAGGTTTATAAGCCTCATTTGATCCTAGTTATTTGATAGACACTCTCAGGGTTAGCCTAGCGTAGCTCAAAGGTCGTCCATAAATTATAGTTTCACCATTTTTTTTCTTTTTTTATATACCAGTTATCAGAAAGTAAAATGTCTTATTAATTTATTCTCTATGATTTGCCAGTAATGTATAAAATGTAATGATAACTATTTCCTTTCTTAGATTTTTAAACTTCATTAGTCAACAATTATCATTAGAAATTTGAGAATCTATTTCAAAATTAGTCACTAGTTAACAGATAGATTTTATTTAATTAAATAACTCATGAACATTAGTTTTAAATGAATAGGATTTTTGTTACGGATTAACATCAACTTAACCATAACAGGAATAATATAGTTATTACCAATGGTTATGGATAATCAACTGATGTTCGAAATGTAAACCACTAAACTATGACTTATTAGCTTAAAGATATAGTACTTGATAAGGCAAATAGAGACCGTCGAACTTATATGGTATGAACTCATTGGTATACACTTCTAGCGAGCTCCAAAGTGAAGTTTCGTATTATTTAAATGATTAGAATATGTTCTTAATGTTACTTATAAAGTTATTTTGTCTCTATATTTTAACTATTAGTAAAAAAAAACAAAGTATTATATAATGCTGAAATGCAAAGAAAATGATCTTTCTTCTCATTATTACCAACCTTAGAGTATTGATAATAATCGGGATCGTGTCTATTCAGTAATTGTTTAAAATAAGATTGTTATAGTAAAGGTAGACTCTCCTTTATCCGATCCTATCCTATCTCATCCATAAATATGTATATACACTCTAACACACGTATCCACCAGTAAAATAACGGTTCACATAATCTATCATGTGTAATATGATGAATTAGTAAGATGTAATCTGTATACAAAGAAAATATTGGTTACTAACCGGAATTGACTTTATTTTCTGAAAGAAAAAAGATATTTAAAAACAAAAAGAATAAGATGGTATATTTGTCATGATTTCATCAGATAGAATTTCATAACTTTAATTAATACTTGAAACAAAATTATTTAAATGATAATGCGTGACTAAATTAAGATAATTATTATCATTAAGATTATATATAAAACAAATGTTTTACTCTCCTACATAATTGTACAGTAAAAGTTTATGATTTTACTATATTGACAACCTGTCATACTGTAGAAACTATATGATTCACCGAGAAATATATGTAGGACATGAAGACTAATTTATTTTCAAAGATAGTTTTTATGTCAAGAGTATATTTTTATTTAATGTAAGTTAGTGAATAAGAAATTTCAAAAAAGAAACTGGAAAGAAAATGTTAAAACAAACATTCTCATTTTTCAAATTGTATCAGATTTTTGTGATCAATATTGTGTTCGGTTAAGCAATTAACTCTTAGAAAATATTGTTACTTATAATAATTGTTGCATTAGTTTTCATGTTAAACATCGATTAAGTGAACTCCGAAGAATTTCGGCTTTCACCATAAAACATTGTTACTGTTCTGCAAGAATGCTTTTCAACGTTCAGGGCAGAGTTTAAATGATTTTTAACGGTTGGCACTTTTCAAAAAGATTCTTTTTTAGTAAATAGAGTTGCTTGCCCTATACCTAACCCTCTTTCTTTGTCCGGACTTAAAATTAGCAGTAACCCGAAAAGGGCTCCAGGTGGTTCTTCAGAATACATAACAAATATTTATAACGTTGTTGACTTGAATTTTCAGAAAATATCATTTTTTTATACTGTTATCAACGCATAAACTAATTAAAATGAGAGTATCACAAGTTTTGATTTGAATGGTTCCACAATATTTTCAAAGGTTTCTAAGATAATAGTTAAATTTATGATCACAGATTTGTAGTTACGGGCTTTAGACAATGATTAGTTTTGAGTAAATGAAGTTAAAAATATCTATTGTTGTTTGGATGTTATTAAAACAAGTTTTATTCCATATTTCCAGGAAAAGGCTAATTTTATTAGAAAAAATTCATACATCTTAAATGTTGAAGATGAATAACAGTACATCATAATGTTGCTAAACATTATTCATGTAGTTTGATAATTATTTTATTTAAATAATCTATTTTAATAATTTTCTTTACTAAATGCAGGTGAGGCTATAAGAATGGCTCGTGATTTTAGTTATTTATGTGAAAATGAGTTTCCACACAGAATATGCGCTGAATATCTTTCACGTACTTTGAATGGATGTGATTACGGTGATGTACAAAAGAAACGAAATCAAGTAATCTCAACAAAGTAAGTAAATACAACCGCCCCTTTGTCTATCCATTTAAGTAACAATAAAACGAATCGAATTTTCAGAATTCGATATATATTCAAAAATATTTCATATCAAAATTCCATATCGAGTAGAGTATCAACATAAAGCCAAAGTGTCTTGAACAGCCTTCTCGATGGAGTTTGGAATTTTTTAACATTTACACAATCGATCTTCGAAATATTGCTAAAATATTTCATAAAGTCATTTCAACTAATAAATATAATTGTTAGTTTAGAAAACGGTAACACATTAACAACATTAACACCACTGGATACCAACTCAGTGGTCTAAAGGTTAAGCGCTAGCGTGCGAGACTGATAGCTCCTGGGTTCGGATCTCACGAGGCTTGATCATGGATTCGCACTACTGAGGAGTCCCACAATGGGACGAAACGGCCGTCCAATGCGTCCTGGTTTCCATGTTGGTCTAGTTTCCATTGACTCATGAATTCAATTATTAAATTACTACAATCTCCACAAAAACCCTCTCTAATAATGTCTTTTCCATCTACTTAGTTATCTAACTATTTGTTATGTTTTTTTTATTAATCACTAAACATACCAGAAGAATAAAGTTAAATTTCTTTGCTCACATTTACTAAAACATGCATGACATGTCAGTTTTTTATGACACACATAAGATATGTTGTAGATGCAACGATTCGACCTGTAAAGTATCAATGGAAATAATTACTGAATTAAGATTACTTTCCTCATATGTCAATTCAAACAAATTATTTCTTACAATTCACAATATCAGTGCTATTAATCAAAGGTGAATAAATAAATGTCCTTATCATTAGTTTATATAAACAATTTTGATTTCGAACACTTACGGGTTATCAAAGCAAAATAAAAATGAGTATTTGTATCATTAGAGGTAATATCTACCAGGAATGTACAACAGTTCGAAAACTAACCAGTTAGGATTGTTTCTGTGTTAGTAGTAAGCAACTATACTGATGTTCCTGTATTTCCTTGTGGGTGTCAAACGAACAAATAAAGAAAAATTAGAGATACATCGTAACGTGAATGTTGTATGCTAGTTTTATTATTTGAACCTTATCGTTATAATCGTCTGTTTGATTTCATAAAATACAGAAATAGTTGAGTTGATTGAATTAATAACTTGCTCACGAATGTCAGTTCCAAAACCTAATCAAATACATCTTATATACTAAAACCATTGAACTGCTGTCATACAATATATAAGGGAATTAAAACCATTATTTAGGTACATGATATTCAACTAGGATATGATAAAAATTGAGTTAACCGTTAATTAGCAAGTTAGTAGTTAAGGCTTTGAACATAGTTCACAAAATAACCAGTAATTATTAACTTCTATTGTTCCTAATTAATTCATTGCAATATTGAATAACAAATTTTAAGAAAAAATTAATTGTATAATCATTTTACTAATTTATATAGACAAATGTTGGGTGAAATCACTGATTTATTAACTAAAGACAGAAGTCCACTTGCAGTGAATCCACTTCCACCAAATCGATCGACAAATTATCTTGATGTTACTACACAAAAATCATTAACTCATTTTAGTCATATTACACATGGATTTGGTGGTTTAACATTAATTAGTGCTTTAAATACATTTCAAACAATTCTATCAGATTTACTTAAAATTTTAAATAAAGATAGTCAATCAATTACTCATTCTACAAATAGTTCAACTATATATACAGATAGACATACACCTGTAACTTCAAGTATTTGTCATCAACATCAAATACAACAATTTTCAAATAATACTATACCTAATACTATAAATGAATCTCAAACATTATCTTCATTATCTTTAACAATTAATACAGATCCATTAAACAATAATAATAATACACAACGTAGAAAATATATAATGCAACATATAAATGAAAATAATTCATCAGATATAAGAAATATTATATCTATGCAAAGGAGTAATTTAAACAATGAAATTGAAAATGGTACTAGTTTGAATGGAGTTAGATAAACTGAATAAACTGGTGATATTTATTATTTTCACATTACTTTTTTAAAATATTATAACTAAATTACCACATATACTATTATTATTATTATTTTTCACAGAGAAATTGTCAGATCAAAAAATGCTGTAAATATATAGTAATACTGATAAATTAATTGACTGTTCATTAAAAATTGATTTGTTAATTTTTTTTTATTCTGTCGGAAAAAAGTCGATAGATAGATTCTTAGGTGTGAATAATAATCAATATTACATAATTGTTTGTTCCTTAGAGCGTAACTCGAAAAAAAAGAAAATAAGTAGGATATATTTTTAAATATTGATCTAGGTTGATTGAATAATATCAGAAAAAAATGATAAAAAAAGATAAACCGCATGAGATCATAATTTATCTAATTTCCAAATATTAGATCAATGAATACACAGATTAGACTTCAATACAAAGGTTATGGAAATTTTTTGACGCCTAGGATCTTTTCCATCAGATGTGTTACATACATAAATACTTACTTATTTACTCACTTGCTTACTTACTTACCTACTTACTTACTTACTTACTTACTCACTTACTTACTTACTTACTTACTTGCTTACTCACTTACTTGCTTACTTACTTACTTGCTTACTTACGCCTGTTACTTCTAATCGAGCATAGGCCGCCGACACGCATTCTCCAACCCACTCTGTTCTGAACCTTCCTTCCTACATCTACATAATTATTGTCCATTTTTCTCATGTCTGTCTCGATTTCTCGGTGTGATGTATTCTTTGGTCTTGAGGACTCCATGTGAAGGCTTGCCTTGTGACGCAGTTGGGTGCTTTCCTCAATGTTTTTCCTATCCACTTCTAGAGCTTCTTCCTAATTTTTTTCCTCCGCTGGGATCTGATTTGTTTTCCCCCACAATAGGTTGTTGCTGATAGTGCCTAGCCAACGGACCCGAAGCATTTCGCGTAAGCAACCGTTAATAAACACTTGTATCTTCTGGATGATGGCTTTCGTGGTTCTCCAAGTTTCTGCCCCATACAGTAGAACCGTCTTGACATTTGTATTGAAAATCCTGATTTTGGTGTTGTTTGACAGACAGTTGTTTTGAGTTCTAGATGTTCTACATTTCTAAATATGCTGCTCTTGCTTTGCCGATCCGCGCTTTCACATCTGCATCAGATCCACCGTGTTCATCAGTAATGCTTCCCAGATATGTAAAGGTTTTTACACCTTCCAAAGCTTCTCCGTCAAGTGTGATTGGGTTGGTGCATGCTATATTGTATCGAAGAATCTTGCTTTTCCCTTTGTGTATGTTGAGACCTACTGCTATTGAAGCTGCTGCTACACTGGTCGTCTTCTCCTGAATTGGCTGTTGAGTGTGAGATAGAAGAGCCAGAATATCAGCGAAGTCTTGATCGTCCAGCTTCATCATAGCTGTCCACTGTATCCCATGCTTCCGTTCAGATGTTGACATCCTCATGATCCAGTTGATCACCAGGGGAAATAGGAAAGTTGAGAGTAAGCAACCTTGCCTGACACCAGTCTTTACCTTGAACGAGTCTGTCAGCTGTCATCCATGCACGATTTTGCAGTTTGATCCATCACAGGAATTCCATATGATATTGGCTATCTTCATAGGCACGCCGTAAATGTGTTTCATATTGAATTGATAAACACGGATACATTATTCTCTTTTTGCTTCGTTCTACTCTAAAAGTCAGGATCTTAAACCTAGTCTATTACAACGATAGGGTTTTATTTAGTTATTTGTGTCTTTACGTTCACTGCATATAGAAAAACTAATTATTTGTTATTTATCTTAAGACTACCTTGTATTAGTGAAGAGGAGCATAAAGAGGTTAATAAAGTGAAATCATATATTTCCAAACATGCGGTATCATTGGGTAAATAATCTAAAGTTTCTACTGTAATGCGATATTAACTTAAACTGAATTTTAAGTAAATCCATTATGTTATTACTACACAAACGGAAGCTAATTTAGTGAAAATCGTATCTTTTTAGGTAATCATGTCGAATTGATTGAGTGTATTATTAGAAAGGTCTATGCGTATGTTTGACATTTTCAGCTAAATACTGAAAAAGACGAAGTGACTATTAAATCAGTTTTTTTTTACCTCGATCATTGTTTATCTTCACATTTTACTACTTTACTTTTATTAGTAGTTCAAATGGTATTATTAATTATTTATTTTGAGGAGTAAATAGAACATGTCTGTTTCAATATATCAATTCGGTCTCTACTATCTGAAAATGTTTCCTTGAAGCATGCAATTGATATCAGTGATAGTGATAAAATGTTCGTTCATACTTAGCGTTGGATCGACACAAAACTTAAAACAGCTGCCGCACTATACGATGCTAAGATATATACGAATATAAATGATGAAATTCGTCAAGGCATCCTAATTACCTGTAAACTTTTTCAACCGCCCTTACTGAAAGATAATTACATAGTGTGTAGAAAACCTTACAATAGTATATGAAAATTAAAGGATAATGTATTTACATAGTTCACAAAAAAGCTTCACCTGTTAAAACGCAGACAAATATCTATTTCAAAGAATTTTATTGAGAGAGTGGAAAACCAAAATATTGGTACTATGAATAATAAAGATATTGACAAAACTGCTACTGAAACATTGATGAATATATAGTTAATTGTTGCCCTTAGATATCTCAGGGAAGCAACACTTCCGTCTCTACCTCTGCTATGAATAGTTGGAATTCTCGCAAAATCAAGCACGTTTCTGTATGTATGACCGGATTCTGTCGAGCCAGTCACTAACGTTGGTTGAGTCCGGAAACACTTTAGTTTGTTTCCGTGAGTGCATATCTCTCTATGTGAAACTATATATCATTCCACTGTTTAACAAACTACTCTCACTATTATTATGCCCTGTGAAAAATGTAAATGCTCTTAAGATAAAAACCGAATCCCATTAACCCATAGTTTCAATACAAATTCAACATTAACTAAATCTCTGTAATACCAAAAGTAATGATGAGAATTAAGAGGATTGTGGTGTTTGAATGAATTAATGATTCCTTTGTACTTGTTGAATGCTTGATTTCGAATTTCAAATACAGTACATTCGTTAGTACTTGTGTAGTGCTTCTTGATTCAACTGCGCTATTTCTGGGATTCTTAGTACTATAATTCAAATACTCCTAATCATCATAAGGATGTTACTCACTTCAAAACTAAAATCAAGTGAGAAGTATTGTGTAAACTCAAATAAACATCAGACTGATTTGTAATCCATACTTAACCTTAGTGTCTCCATTACTTTGATACATTCAAATCCAGTAGTCTGCTTATTCCGGGCACAACTGTAATATAAGTATTCTGATAAAACCATATCCATTATGTATGTTGACATGAAGGCAGGAAAGACGCTGTAGAAACTATCTAGCAGATACCGAATTCCTATTTTATTTTATCTCACAGTTGTTATATCTAGAACTTGGATTTTTGTTATACCACGTACAATTTGGGCACTCGAACTTGAACTAGAACCTTACAAGTCGTAAGATAGAAGACGGAAGACGAGTAAGAGGGAATCTCATTCAAAACAGTGTCTAATATGGTACAAAACACTCAGGTATTTACGATTTTCAGTAAAAACGAAATCATCATTACAATCATCCAATCCACATGCAGTGGTTTTTATCATTTGTCCTATAGGGAAGCTACACATTGAGATTCCAGAATGTTCTTCTAAAAGTTGATTGGGTGGAATACCTTCATCTCTTTTGCAGTCTCTTAGAGCTTACTTAAGTTCACCGTAAGCCGTCTTTATAACAGTAAAATAACTGACCGGCTTTGCGTGTTGGATTCACTAATGTGATAGCACTCTTTAAAGGTCGGATGAAATTTCTGATAAGCCGTTAGATTGAGGATGTCGTAGAGCTGTGAATAGATGATGGCACTAAATCTCAGTAGGCCAGTTGTTAAACGATTTCTGTGTAATGAATTTCACTATCTGTTACTAATATATTGGATATTCTTTCACCACCAACTATTTTTCTCATAGCTCTTTGAGTAGTGTCCACTAACACCATTCGTTAGTACCACTTCTGGTCATTTGGAATATGAATCAGTCATAACTAACGCTTAATATGACCTTAAAAATGCGTCACAACAATCCGCATGAATACTTTGTCGCGATCCATAAGTTGTAGGACAATGATTCTAAGTTGATTTATTATACGATTGCTTATGTAAACACGCAGGACAGTTTTCTTGGTTTTCGACCTGTATCAGCGTCAGTCCCAAGCCACCAACATGCATGACAAATAAGTGACTTCATTTTCTTTACACCCAGATGGGTGAAGTAGTCATATAATACCGCAGATCTGTGTATAGGGGGATGGTTATTCTATCATTAAAGCACAGAAGGCCTACAGGATGCGATGGTATATCTTACTTTTCATAAAACTCAAGAATTCTTTACTTGCTCTGCATATCCCAACCTCTCTCTACAACACTTATGACAGTTCCAAAATACTTACGATCATCTTTCACAAGTTCTGCTAAATAAACTGATAGTGGTTGTGTCAGCAAATAGTCGAAACGAAAAAACAAACTCCCCGTTGTGCTCTAGAATCTCACCTAAACCCAACGGACCTGCATTTGTAGTAGGGAAAGATTTTTCAGTTGGTAATAACGGTTTGGGGAAAACCTCACTACTTAAGAACTGTAAAGCGTTCCCTAGTGTCGCTCTCATGCAATCTCTTTGCCAGAGTATAGGTCGAAAGGTAGAGATAATACGTGTATAAGTTCAAGAATAAATCTGGAATGAAACTGAATAGCACCAATCCATTAACTGAGTTCTGTGATATTTGAAGGTGACGGTGCTCAAATCAACGGAGCAAAGCGACCCATATTAGGTCTGAAATCTTTAGTGTCTACAGTATGGCCTAATCAGTTGATAGAATTAAGTTGAAATTAGCACTTGGATGAATTTACGACCACATATGTTTCACGAAAACGCA